GCTGGACAACGCGATCGGTCGGGGCATCATCGGCTGAGGGCTTGTTGCTAGGACATCGCTCAGGCAGGGGCGCCGCCCCGTCACGGGTGGAAAAGGGGGCCTTTTCATTTTGATCGTTGCTCGGATTACATAGCGCCCGAGCCTGAGACGTAGACAAGGACATCGCGGCCAAGCTCGAGGTTGCCTACTCTGACCGGAAGTCACGGTGAAAAAGGCCCTTCCTTAAACGCGACAACAATGTGTCAACAAGGGTTTGGCAGGACATCATCAGTGATAGGACCAGTTGTCATTGGTGGAGGAGAGGGTAGAGGAAGACTTGAAAAAGATCGGGAAGAGGAAGGAAGAAGGCCGAAAGGAGGAAGAAGGAGCAGCAATTGCATTTTAATCTAACGGCTGAAAAAACCGACTAGCATTTTTTTTCGAGTAACTGATACATAGATGGCCCTATTTTTTGTATTATGCAAGTGTGGATATATAATTGGGGATGTTTTTGTAACTTGACAAGCTATACATAATCGAACATTGTCGGAAGTTCGTAGGAGCACGCATGCATGCAGCCACTAACATTCGAAAAATGTCGATGAAAACCATGCGGAAATGATGTTTGAAGTTTCCCAAAAATCTAAAAACAATGTGTGATGTTAAAGGGTGATGTTCTATTGCCACGTGAAATTTGAAATTCAAACACGTTACGAGATGTGAGTTATGAAAATAACAAAATCATCGTTGAATAGTTCCGAAAGTAACATCACTATTCATTGCTGAATTTGTTTTTTTTCTCGCATAGATCACATCTTGTGATGTGTTTCAACTTGGACTTCCGTATGGAAATACAACATCACCCTATTAACATCCAGTAATTTTTCTAGATTGATCAAAACTTTCAAATGTGGTTTACACGAAGTTTTATTTAAATGTTGGTTTTCATGTGATATTCTCCCTTCTTTTATACCATTAGCCCTTAATCATTTCAGTGAGTCCATGCATGTCATCTTTTGGCAGAGTTGCATGGGGCACCTACCCCATCTCCCATACTTTTTTTTATTTCATCTTAAAAGTTGAATCTATTGTATCTTTTGAACCGAAAGTTCAAATTAAGTTTCATTGCATATTCGTATTCGTTGCTACGAGTACTTTCAAATAAGATCAATATTGAATACATGTAGAACTTGATAGTCATAATATTAAGTTTTACAAAGCTTCACCAAATTACCGAGTTTCATTTGCTTTTAGGGATTTAGGGCTTAGGTTTAAGTTCTAGTCACTGAAACTTGTTGAAATAATTCTTATTCGCTCTAGCAAGTTTTAGTAGTTGATACTTGCTGAAGTGTTTAAAACTTGTCAAAACATACTTAGAAGTGTGTATGCTCCAAAGCCCTCATCACAAGAAACACACATATGCAAATGAGATATAAATTGAATTTTTGATTCAAAAGATATAATAAATTCGAATTTACAAGTCAAAAGAAAAAAAAACATAAAAAGGTGGGATGGATGGGGCATATGCACTCTCATTCAAAAGTTGTATCAGAAGCTGCATGCATGCCGTAATTAAGCTCCAATCATAAAAGCACTATTTTAATATTGACGCGATCATGCGGCCATACGCATCGTGCCCCCGAATATCGTTGCACTGGATGATAATATGATCAGCTACTAGATAATGCTCACACCGCTACCGAGTTACTCCCTCTGTAAATTAATATAACAGCGTTTAGATAACTAAAAGTAGTTATCTAATTTAGAGAGGGAGTATGTAAATCCTCTTGCGTGATGCACATGGACTTGTATCACACAAGCCATTTTCATGTCGGAAACATCATGTGTACATTCACCAGCAGATGGGTACATGAATGAATAAATTTATTTGCGGCCAGTTGAGGGAGAGCGACCCAAGTCCACACAGAGCAAAAGCAGCGTGTCAACGTCGAGCGAGCTGAACACCACACCCAATACGCCCGTCCTACTCATTTCGTCCTGTAATAAACTTTTACTTGCGGAAAATTTCCTCAAATTAATTAGGGACCGATCCATATTAGTGCGCAGTTCACTCTGTCATCTCATGTAAGTAAGTGGTAGGATCTTCATCTTCCGGACTTCTGGTTGTAATAAGTCTCGACAGGAGCAAGTACTGACCGGACCAGCAGTAGGCAAGAATTCATTGACGCTCAAGTCTTGGGTCAACCTTGGGCGTTAAGACTCACGTCCAGTTCGTCCAACTCCATTGAACCTAGGTACAAACAACTGTATCGATGGTACGGACCAGGCCCAGACTGTTGGTCGGACAGGTCTAGACTTACGTCCACACGTCCTACGTCATGGGCCTGACGTAAGAGATGGAAGCACTGGTCCTTCCTCTTGCCAGCCGGTAGCAATCAATCATCATGAATTAAGGTACTAGCCTCAAACGCTCTGGACGAATTCAAATTCAGTTATTGTGGTGGAGGGAGACTGGAATCTGACTCGGGGTTAGGGTTTGCCAGGAGTTGGTCACGAAGAGAATCTTGGGTGTTTCTCAAATACCGAAATCTGCTGGATAGGAGAATGGTCGTCGGAAATAGTCGAAGTCTGGGAGGATGCTTGGACTGGTGACTCCATTTAGTCTCATTCCAGAGCAGCTACAATCGGACATGGCAGAGGATGCTTCGACTGATGACTCCATTTAGACTCATTCCAGAGCATCTACAATCGGTCGGACATGGCAAGGGATGCTTGGACTGGTGACTCCATTTAGTCTCATTCCAGAGCATCTACAATCGGACGTGACAAATCCGGTCTCTTATATGCCCGCAGGCGAGTCCACGGACAACGCTTGTTAGCTCCTCATAGTCATATATTTCAAATTCGTGCTGGAATTTTGTTTATTTTGGGCCTAGCCCAATAGCAGTTTCAGAAATTCCTAATAAATCTTAAAGGCCCACGCAGCCCATTTGTGCAAGGCAAGAGGTGGAACAAAAGTTTAGTTTCACATTGCTAATTTAGAGGGAGTTGAACCTCTTTATAAGGTAGGTTCTTTCCCCACATGTATGAGCATGAGAACAAGAGGGTCATCCACGTGCGCTCCTCCTCCGCCGCCCGCCTCGCCCGCGCCGCGCCGCGCCGCGGGTTGCGGGAATGAGCTGAGCCGATGTCTAAATTTTTGCCACGCATGACGGGTATACGAAAGGTCACGTGGGAGTTGAAACATTTTTCTGTAGTGGACACTGAATTCGAACGGCTTCCATGAGACTTCCAAGTGGTTTTGCTGCTTCCATGAGACCACCTATGTTTGAGGGTATCTATTATAAGAGGTGGCGCGTGAGAGCAGTCTTATGGTTTCAAACCATGAGTTGCTATGACGCCACTCTTGGCAAACCTGAAGGGGAGCTTGATGCTCAACAGGCACAAGCCTTTCAGAAAATGGATACTCTGTTTAAGGCTGCTCTCTTGAGTGTTCTTGGTGAGAACATAGTTGATGCGTATGCATCAATTGATAATGGAAAAGATATATGGGATGCACTCGAGGCCAAGTTTGGGGTCTCGGATGCTGGCACTGAGCTGTACATCATGGAGCAATTCTATGATTACAGGATGACTGAAGAGCGCTTCGTGGTTGAGCAAGCTCATGAGATACAGTTATTTGTTAGAGAACTTGAGCACTTCAGTTGTATGTTACCGGACAAGTTTGTTGCCGGAGGTATCATCACTAAGCTTCCTCCTTCGTGGAGGAACTTTGCTACCTTACTGAAGCATAATAGGCAGGAGTTTTCCGTTCCGGATCTCATTGGCACTCTTGATGTGGAAGAAAAGGCGAGAGCAAAGGACACACGTGCTCGAGGTATTGAGGGAGGATCTAGTGCCAATGTGGTACAGAAGCAGAACTTCCAGCCCCACAAGTTCAAGAACAAGGGCAAGTTTGATGGTAAAGCAAAGTTTGATGGGAAGAATAAGGCTGTGCAACACACGAACTTCAAGAAGAAGAATGGCAAGAAGAAACGTGCTTGTCATGTGTGTGGGGATCCTGATCATTGGGCTCTTAGTTGCCCTAATCGCTATGACAAGCATAATCCTGGGAAAGGCGGCAAGGCCGCTAATGTTGTCATTGGAGACACTGACATGAAGGATGCTGGGTATGGTATATTTCCCACTATTCTTTCAGTATGTCATTCTCCTGACTGGT